AATGAAAGACTGTTAATTGATGTAAGATAAGTAGAAGTAGAAAAAGTTATATGTGAAGTTCAAGCATTTCAAGTGGGAATTCTAATGCAATAAAAAAGAGTAGAAGTAGTAGTTCTTAATAAAGTGTGTTGATAGGAAGAGTAAAAGACATAATTTGTTTCAGTTATATTCTTATAATTCTGATAAAAGAAAGACAGAGATTAAGTGTTAGAGAGGGAGGCACCCGAATATCCTTCGTGGTAAACAATGTATACAGACACTAGTGGGTATAGTATGTTATATGGAGTTATGTAATGCAGACAATGTAGGATACAGCATATTGAATTAAAATTAATTAAATGTTTTTATGAAAGTAATTGGGTACCAGAATAGTTTGCTTTGTTTTGGAATTTCAATTATGAAAACAATTCTCTATTGTTGTGGTCAAGAGGTGTATCACCGCTTTTCAGTCTGATCAGCTGATGGCATGGTACTGCTTTTCTTAAATTTTCTGAAAGTCATAGTAATTTTTTTTACTAATTAAAAAAACATAGTATTTTTGTCATATTTTTGTTATAGATAGGATGCATGCATAAATAATTAGGTAAAGGGCCCTCATAGAATAGTTATACTTTTATTTAGGATAATTGCAAATTAGGCCTAGTGGTGAACAATCATAATGTACTCATAAGTTTTACATTAATGATTTGATAAAGCATGTAAAGTAAATAGTTTGTAATTGATACTAATCTATTAATACATTAACAATTATTAACATTATTAATCCCGAAGCAGAAAACATACCTGGGCGGATGAACAATTGGACTTCATGGTTGAACGACTTATTATTTAATCTCTAAAGATGAACAATTAATGATGGAGCTGTACTGAAAATGAACAATTTATGCCGGAGATGTCACTCTGTTACTTAGTGATACAATGAACGCTTGATGCTGAATATACATTTATGACACAATATATCAATCATTATTTTGTCATCATTTTGTGAAGCAGTTTATTCCGTAATGAACGCAGATGACTGAAGCACAAAGAACAATCAAATTGAATTAACGAACTAAAATGCCTTGTGAAACATGATTCAAGAACATTTGCACATGATCAGATGGATTATTTTTATACCAAAATGGAATTGACATTCACCCGACACTCATTTACAGTGTGTTGCAAAATGAACGCTGAAGTGTGATACCTTTTGGTTTTAAAACAACCTACCCAGTGACCATGTGGACCGGATTACAGAATGCGTAATTGTTATTTATATTAATAATGATTATGTATATAATATATATAATGATACATCGACACGCACTTCGGAACCTATGTGATTTTGTGGCTCAACCGACATATGATATTGGATATGTGCCTATGATTTGGATTAAAACATTGTATTACATATGAGATTACCACAATAATATGCAACATAGACTGGAGTTGATGAGACTTGATACAAGAGACTATCATGTATAATCAGTGCTTCTAATATTAATGATGCAGTACCAGATACCAGCCGTGTGACCTCCTGACCCTGAGAGACAGTTCATCATGTTTATACTGTGAATGCTAGTTACTGTACAGTGATGGTTCAGTTTCAGGCCATGTTTATTTACTTATGGTAATTTAATGGTCATCTTTACATGGATTGTTTAGTTATGGAAATTTAGATTTACTTTATGTAACAATTGCTTTGAGATGATAATTTTGAAGGCTTATCTTACCATGGAATTTACTATGATTTGTTATTGTTTTTACCAACTCAGTTATATTGTCATAATCTTCGTTAATGTTAACAAAAGGGTTTTACTTGAAACTGTTGTCATTTTTATTTCAATTTTGCAATTCATTTATTTCATTGAGAGATTATATAGGCAATTTAAGATATAGATCTTTATTAATCACTGTTTGTGTTTTATATAATTATCAATTGCATGATATTGTACAATTTGAATTTAAAATGCTGTAGTCTCTATTGAATGGACAGTGTATATCAAGTTGTACTTTGATACTTTATATTTTGGCAATCTTGGAAAAGTAAAATCTTGAGCATTACAGATAGTGGTTGTCAACTAGGACTATGTTACATTAAGTATATTTGTCCAGTTAGGGGAGGTGAGATCTGTCATGATTACAAATGTTAAAATGTCATTGTATTTTGATTTTGTTTTGTGTTTAAAGGTATATATCAATGTATTTGTCAAATCCGTTAGTTAAATATTGTTATATTGTTTTGATGTTACTTGAAGATCGAGGACGATCTTATTTTTCATTGGTGGGGGGTGGTGTAACGGATTTGGGTCTTAGGATGTATAATTTCTCAGTTATCTCTGCATTTACATAAAGGCTGAAGGTCTTCATATAATGGTCAAACTTAATTGTCATTTGTCAACCAATCATGTATCAGTATCTAGCCTTAGTTCTGGGTTTCATAGAGGCGGGTGGTCTTTAGACAGTAGGCACACTTCCATTGTATCTTTCAACCAATCACTTTACAGTCTGGTCATCTTCAGTCCACTTGAGTTTTGGTGCAAGCAGTCTTTTACTATGGAATATTCTCAGTACCAACTGCATTCTAACATTTGCTTCAGTCACTTAACCAATCATTGGTCCATAATTTGTCATGGTCAGTTTTAGGGATGTCCTTTAGTATTTTAGTACTCAAGTTAACCAATCAATGGCTTCAGTGTCTTGGTCCCTCTGTACAAGCTGCACTTGGGGTCTCAGGGGTATATAAGTAAATGTTCACCATCAGGACCTCAGTCTCGCTCCTGGCTCGCTTGGGTAAAGGTCTTCAGCTCCTATACAGTCTTTGTGGATATTTGGACTAGGAATCAATTAAGGAGTTCAGTTTATCAATTAGTCGGATATATATTTGTCACCATCTTGGATATTTACTTCAGTCGCAGGCACTTGGTTGTTTTGGGTGAGTTATCAATGCATTATATACAGGTAATTTGAACACATCATTTCTTTGACATTATTGTGTGAGATAATTGCAAGCTATCAGTCCAGGTATAGTACTTAGATTTAATTAGTATTGAGGTTACAGGAGTTGTACTTGTATGCATTTCTTATTGTTATGTAAGATGTTCATGTACCTTTTGACTTATAATTAAACAATATAGTAATGTTGATTATTGCTGACCTCGAACCTAAATGTTTTGTTTAATCTTTATTATAAAATCAACCCCCACGAAACTGCACAACCCCCAACACAACACCTTGGGTCGTTACACAAGTTTCAGATTTAGATTCACTGAGAAAAAAGATTTAACTTAAAGTGTCCATCAGTATCCTTGATGGTGGTTCAGTTAAGAATACATACATACGGAAAAAAGTGACATAAACAGTACAGTCAGTTAAGTCACAATCATTGCCAGATTCTGTCACCTTGCTCGGAAAAAATGTTGGGCCTCTATATACCAAAATTGGGTCCAACTTTTAAAAAATGAAGGCCCATTTGTGATAAATGGGCACAAAAAAGACCTTAGAGGCCAAATTATGCCCAAAAGGCCCATTTTGAGGCCCTTCAAAATTTGGGGGCCAAACATTTTCTGGGCCCAGGGAACCCCCCCCCCCCGGATCCGCCACTGGGATGATGGCCGATATGTCAGGTGCAGGTATACAGTAGGGTGGTCTACAATTCTCGGGCTTACTTATCGGCAAGGAAGGCCTTTTATCTTTCCTCAGTATTTTCGTCAACTCAGTCACTTTCTTTCCCGTGGTCCGTTTCTCGCATTGGTCAGTATATATCTGTAACCATAATCGGATATTTTGAGAGGTACATGGTGTTCCAAAAGTAACAGAACTGTCATTTTGTTTAATTTGCACCAGATGTCTATTTTATTTTAGATGTAGTAACGAATATATCGGTAGGTCAATCATATCATTATAATGCTTGCAATTTTGTCATCCCCTATATATCTTATTTTGCCTTTCATTCTTTTTAAGATATCGTTAATATATACAAAAAATGATTGTTTTGTGCTGTGTCTTGTATCTTTGTTTATTTATTTTCTAGATTGGAGTCAATGGAGCAATACATGTGAAACACAAGGTGAAAGCAGACGCCGCACGAAGTCTTGCCTATTTTTCGGTTACTTCAGTATTCGCGGTAACAAATATCAGAATTACCGTAACAATGAAGGAAAGTGTATTAAGGAAGAACTGGACAACTGCAAAGGTAAACAAATTAAATGTTATATATAAACTCAGCCTCTGCCACAGGGGTCAAACTATACACGAAAAACGTTAATTTGAAATCAAGGATTCGGAGTCTCATACTGCACATTTTTATTCAAACCTTTTTCGTACAAATCAACACGAACATGTTGGTACATTATTCTGTTATGTAGTGTCTCTCTTAGGTAATTGTAATTGTGTTCTAGCTCCATCAATATCACTAACGCCATCTACATATTTATCTTATATTTAGCCATCATAGCAGTAACTGGTCAACTCAACCCCAAGTCAATTCAGCCCTTAGTCAACTCAACCCCAAGGATATAATAAGTCTTGATCTATTTATTACAGAAACGTGTAGCAGCAGAGGTGAAGTATGTTCCGACCGAGACGACTGTTGCCCAAATGAGAACCTTGCCTGTGGCGTGTTAAAGCATTGTACGTATTTTTAAAAACTCCAATCAACACTATTTTATTTTTTCATGAGTCTTACTAATTTTCAACTAATAATTTTTTCGTGCACACATGGACCACCACAACCACCTTGGACTCAACCGTGAACCAATTTCCTGTTAAAGTACATTCTTGTTACCCTCACAGTTCATCAGTACAATACTCAACAATGTAAAGTAGAAACATTAGTCAGAAAAATAAAAAAATATTAATTAAAAATTAATAAAAAAAAATTACAGCATTTTTATCAGTACTTATTGAACGTATTACTGTACTGTATAGTAGAAATATTATCATCCAGGCTGTAGAGAAACAGGGGGAGCTTGCTCCATTGACGAAGACTGTTGTAGAGGATTGGCTTGTAATAGAGGCGAATGTATAGTTGGTAAGTTTATATTGGCAATATTAAAGTTAATGTAAAGTTACGTTTTAAATAACTAAGTTAAGATATAGGTTAGATAGATTTTTAATTAATTCCTAATCTAGATAAATGGATTTGAAATTGGTGGTATGGTTATTGAACCATAATATAGAAAACGTTTGTACAAAAAAGCCTAAAAATAGGCATACAATTAAAAAGACTTGTGCCCAATTATGTTAATGTGTTATCTAAATTGGCCAATATTTTGAGTCGGGGGGGGACCCGAGCCGTCCTTATTCGACGTTGTATACGGCCACTATTATTGCCCGGTTAGTTTTAGATGGTCGCATGGTTTGATCAAAAAAGGAATGAATTGTGTTTAGAGAAGCTACTCCGTTAATTATCATTTTCAATTCAGATCCTGGCCAACCTACCTGCAAAAAAAGAGACGTTGTTTTTGCACTGGAGACATCTTGCTCGATTGCCGATAGCGACAAAGAAGATATTCGCTCTGCTCTTGTTGAATTTCTGCGTAAAATACAGATAGACCCAGTTAATGGTACACAGATAGGAGCGCTAACATTCAATAAAGGCGCTCATCGTGTCGCATATCTTTCTGATTCTGACGACCCCGATCACTTGGTACGGCTGGTGGAAAACATGAACTTGACAGCGGCTGGATGTAGAACAGATTTCTTTGAAGCTTTTCGTGCAGCCGAGCATGAGTATTTTACTCCCGCAAATGGTGATCGTCCATATGTCGATAACCTTTTTATCATGATAACCGATGGTGTAATTACAGATCCAGGTAAGGGAATATTTCTCTTTAAACAATTCATTATTTAAATACTGGGCATATGCCCGTGCGTTTTGCTAGACTATAAAAAGCAAATTCTCTTGACTCCTTTACGTATCTCAATAAAAATGTGTCCTGAAACACATCATCTACTTGCCATTTAAATGTGATTTAGGGATTTTAAGAAAGTTAATTCTAAAAAGTCCCATTTATAAAATGTATACAAAATATATATTTATTTGTATTAAAAGATGGAATGTTGATGAAAAAAAGTAAAGTATTCTTAATAATACACATATTTAATATTATTGTGGTTCTTGTTCATTATACACTTATAACATGTTCTCTGAAAGGATGGGTATCGATATGGTGAACTGAATTCAACAATGTTTTTCTCTTAAACTAATTATTAAAAACACTCTGTAAAACCACGGTCCTTTGTGTAATGTTGACTGATTGGCAACAATTTAATGCAAACATTATTCTTATATACTTTATAACTATAACTGTTTTTGTTAACATTTTTTGTTTTTTAGTTCAATTGTTTTTTGTTCCTTTCTATCAATTCTTGAGAATGAAATAAAATGTCTTTCCGAACCTTGTTTAACAAAATAACATATGCAACATTTGCTTAGACCTCTCAATAAAGGGTGTCCAGAAAGTATGCCCCCCCCCCAGGCAGACATATTCCAGTGTCCTCATAGTATGTGTCATATATCATTTTAAAGCTTATCAAAAGTTAGATTGATTTGCCAAGTATAATGGTTTAACTCCCAAATTTTAAAAGTTAGTGTTTTGTCAAAATAAAGTTCAATTTTACACCACATTACTCGTCAATATGCCCCCCTTGGCCATGTTAACAGCAGCAAGTATTTTCAGATATGACCTTAAAAGCCCTTCAAATAGGGGTGTGGAATTTAATAACCCTCTTAAAACCTGTTAAGGGACTTTAAAGAGTTTCCTTAGAGTTTCTACCTTCACCGTTCTCTTTTTCCAACTCAATATCCATCCGATCCGAAAAAAGTGCTGCTGTTAAGATGGCCACATTGAGAGGACACATTGACTAGTGATTTGGTGTGAAATTGAACTTAATAATTTTGACCAAACACTAAATTTGAAATGCCTGTAATTGTTTCACATTTGAGAATTGAACCATGATACTTGGCGAATCAATATAACTTTGGATAAGCTTTATAATGATATACGACACATACTATGACGAAAATGGTATATGTCTGGCTAGGGAGGGCATACTTATGGGACACCCTGTATTACAGTTTTATGAAGGAAATTTTGGTTGATTTTACAAAATGTATGCAAAAACATAAAACAAAACCCCCCAAAATAGATAAAAATTAAGATAAACATTTTATTTCATTAACAAGGTACAATCAAACTTTCTTTTGTACAATTGCAATATTGAGAGACTCGTTTGTTCCAATGAAGTTCGGATAGATGTTTCATTTCATTCCGAGCATATTATACCAATAACAAAAAAGTGTCTGATGTGTTTTCTAAAACATTAAAGAGAAAAGGATAGTATACAAGGGTCGTTCAAAAGGTTTTGCACGAAAACTTCTCAAGAGAAGAGATTTTGTCAATTTTACATGAATTTTCCAATGAGTATATTTTCACCCATCTTACGTTTATATCTAAAATTTCAGCACCATACACAATGAACACTCCCCTCCATGAGTTTGGCAAGCTTAGCTCCCCCATTGAACTACGGGTTAAACCCTCTTTTCGTTTGAATTTTTATTTCTTAACCGACGATTAAATATATTTTAATATTGATGGAAATGTAACTTGACTTTATTTCCAATACCTCCAAATTTTCTCATTTTTTCCTCGATTACAATAGGTCGAAAATTGATGATAAATTTGATGAATTTTTGAAAATCGTCATTTCTATGTAATCCAACGGGAATGGAGGGTTCGAGGCAAATCAGAAATCAGGAATTTTTTTCAGTAAAAGGTTCAGCAAAAAAAAATTTATTTAGAAAATTAAATTGTCGTACTTTTTTGTACACTTGAGTGTTTAGTTTATTTGATGGATACTAAAGTCACAGCGCTTCAAAGTCATTTTTGAAAATAATTTTTTGTCCCATGTGTTATTTCAATGTGAGAGATTTTTTGAAAAACAATTTTGACTAAAAAGCCCTATAACCTTGTTAAAGCTGAAGAAACATATCAATTTTTTGTTAAATAAACTGAGCAAATTCAGTTGCCTACCTAACTCGCATTTCTGCAAGGACTCAGATGGATGGATATATTGTCATATGACTTGCGGCAAACCTACCATTTCCCATTGGTTAACATGGGAATCTCGATTTTCAAAAATTCATCACATTTATCATCAATTTTCGACTTACTGTAATTGAGGAAAACAATGAGAAAATTTGGAAGTGTCAGAGTAAATATAGTCTCCCTGAATATATGGTCTGGGATATCAGGATGCCAGGTCCTCCGTTAGACTATAGTATAAGTCCTGGAACGTAACTCAAGACAATATTTATCTAGAAAAACAAGACCGTTGGACTATACTACCTCAGGTATTTTATTCCGGTTGCTAGAACTTGGTGTCCAGGTGGACAATAAATACCAAATTATGGTCTCTCTCACCGTCATTCCGAACCATATCTACTAGCTAGATTTGTCCATTGACATTAATTGAACTCTGTCAAATTAATATTTCATTGACAAACTACTCGATAGTTCTTGTAATTATGCTAATGTTGTATATCAGTCACAGGTCGATCTTAGGTCAATCTGACCCCTAGGTGTAATAAACTTTTGACATTTTGTGATTAACTATAAATTTGCTTTCAAAATGATTATTTTTTTGTGCCAAGAATGCTATATTGAATACAATAATAATCTAAATGTCTGAACTTAGGTACTTTCAAAGGTATCGCAAAACTCATTAACATCAATGTACATGTAACGAAATTGAATAATCGACAATTTTTAGTTCAACTTGTTTTGTCTTTAACATTCATGTTTCAAGAATAATTCCAAACAACAATCAGTGATTTTGTAAGAAATTACATGCTTAACTTGGTATTAGTCCAAAATAAATTCGGTCCGTGATTTTCCCTTGCAACCACACAGTAACGGAATGTAAATCAAATTAGTAAAGTTGAAAAATGGGGGTAGAGGAGAATTGAAAATCGTATCCACCAAAATTTGGAGACGGTTATCATCCATAACTCTGATATCACAGTTTGTATAAACATTCAGTAACATGTAAAAATTTCAAGCCTCACTATGCGTATTTCAAGATTTTTTGGCAAAATGAAGACTTACTTTTGAACTTCATATCATCTCCAATGGATTTATAATAAGTACTTTATCTTTCATAAGACTTCAAAACAACTCAAACGGGCCACACCAAAGCTAACAATATGTTATTAAAAATATGTTTGCTCTGTCAACTTTGTTAATAGTTTATAAAAAGTTTTAACCATTGTCAATGAAATATGGCTAACTTGTTTGTAGTACAAGATTCATTTATTTTTATACATGTGTCGCCATCTTTTAAATCAAGAGAGTTATTTAAAAACATGCACTTTGTCAGAAATGGGCATGGCATTGCACTACTAAAGATCTCTGAACTTCAAATGCTGTTTACTACTATGTTCTATTTTTTCTCGGTTCAATATTAATGCAAATCAAGCTTTGTATCATAAATTGAGTGTGTAAATAACATGTTTTAATGACTAATTTATCTTTTTTCCTTCTAGATTTAGTATAGTGGGCATTTAAGTAATTTGTGAGAAAAAAGTTTCTAATATTTGTGAAGAGAACATAATTTGCTTATATTTGGCGATTTATTGTATTTTATCTTTAAATAATTCATAAGATAGGTAGTAGTGGCTCAATTTTCATGAAATAAAGAATGTTAGAAAGGAAATTCAATGTGCTAAATGATTACTCATCAAACAAAGTAAAAATGATCAATGCATTTTCTGCAGCATTAGAAACAAGGTAATTTTCATGAATTACATTTCTATTGGTATCAACTTCCGACAATCATAACTTCACCTCTCTACCCCATTCGCCTTGATTTTTAAATAAAAAATGTCATTTATCTGATGCGAGAATAATAACTGAGGCACAAAAACTTGCAAATAGGACTATTTGAAAAATCGGGGTCTCTCCCCCCGTGTTAAATACCTATTAAAAGTATGTCTAAAACAATTAGATTAGTCATGAGAAATAATGAAATAATATCCGATGATATGTTGTCTGCTTATATCCCGATTTTAAATACTACATGGTGAGCCAAAAAATGTAACCCAAACAAATGTTAATAAATCCCTCTTTCAACATAGATTTAGATAAAAATTTTGTACAATATAACTTTTTTCAATGTTCTGTCATTTACTACGTTTCATTGGTCTACGTTTTAGGGCCGAGGGGGTTTGTGGGCGGAATGCAAACATTCACTTTGCATCCCCTTTCTTAACAAAAGAAACACACGGCCGGTAACAACCCATTTTTGAAAGATCAACAAACCAAAAGCCAGAAACAAACTCCACTCTCAGAAATATGACTATTTTCGTGCGAACAATGAATCGCACATATACACTAGCTATTTGATGAGTGTACATACTATACTCTGTAATTTGATTCATTTCTTGAAACCGTTACTATCTTGCGAACCTGCCCATCTTTTCGCCCCCCCCCCCCCCCCTCTTCGTTAAACAGAACCCCCAGGCCGGGGAAAAATTGAACCCCTTTGGTAAATCATTGCTACTCCCTTTGATGCGCATCAGAGTGTTGTAACAAGAGGTAAGAATGATGATTAGAGCTATTACACATGATATCTGTGAGCATCTAATCACCTAGTATTATCAAATTAGCCTCCTGAGATGTGATCAGCATTTTGAGGATGTTTTGTAAAATAACCATAAAATCGTGGTCATTTTGTACATGCTTATTCTATCTCAAATCATTTTCAGAAAGACAAGAACTCGCATTTGAAACGAGTCGAATTCTGCTTGAGGCTGGAACACCTATCATCATGATTACCTTATATATACCACGAGGATGTTACCGCGAACCCGGCGTATCGGAATGTTACGATTTCAGGAATGAAAATGAGTTGCGGATTGTACAAGAGCTGAGGGACTTTATCTTAACTGACGTCTCGCAGTTTCCTGTAACACTGAATTATGTTCATGAAATAATCTGTACAAGATAGTCTGTCATAATTAATTCATTACGTTACAGTTGTAAACAGAATCAGCAAAATGTCTTTAAGACACAGCAGACACACCGGTAGTATCCAAAGCCACGCTAAGATTTCAAAGTCGCGAGCAAGTTCCGGCTGAAATCGCGAGCAATAAAAAAAGTGATGGGTTGTCTTTTGTTTACTTGAATTGTATGATGTACCAAACGTTTTCTTTCAATTTTCCCCAATGATTACATGGTATTGAGACTAAAAAGCAACTGCTGGAAAAAAAGTATCACGAGCGGTCGTTCTGTGGTTCTTTATTTGACAATTGAGGAGAGAAAGTATCATCTTGAATCTTTATCTATATATTTCTATACGTTTTAGATGAAGAACGACGTTGTCTTGTGGTTGAAATAATGATAGTGATCTTAAATAAAAATGTACTGAGTTTCATTTCCTAAAGCTTTACAGAACACTTTATATTTCAATTTTATCATATCCCTCAAGGCCCATCTTCTAACAGGAGCAATACAGCAAAGACCCCGCTGAACACATGAGGACGCCCCGCTGAAAACATGAGGAGGTCCCGCTGAAAACAGGAGCAAGTGTCTCTTCAAAATGGAGTGAATCCTGATTATACCGTGAAAATCTCCCATCATCGTACCCAGCTTGATCCACTATTGTACCCAGTTTCATGAATACATCATGATTTGTTGATACAATTCTCAAAAACAGCAAATACTGTATTGATATAGTACATATTATGATAGGTCGTAATGGAAAAACTGCAGAATGATCTTCGTTGCCATTTTCCGGATTAAAATAGGTCATCTAAGAAATGTGATGAGTGTTAGATCGATGAAATGTTAAAAGTCTAACCTCATTTTCATAATAAGATGTATAAATAAATGTTGTTGATTTTACGCATCAAATCTAATCAACCCAACTGTTTGAAAAGTAAGTGCAATTCCATCATATATGAGTACAAGTCGATATATAGTAAGATTCACGCGCATGCGTAAGCTAAAACGATTAAGTCAGAAAAATGTTCAGTAATACTATTTTTGTCTCAATCTCCTGTTGCCAGCTTGCATACTAACTAACTCACTCACTCATCCCTTATCAGAAATAAAGGAACGAACGAACGCAAAAAGTATTTACAAACAAAAAACGAACGAACCCTCGAACCGACGCACGCACGAACGAACGGACGCACGCACGAACGAACGCACACACGAATTAATCCACGAATGAACGGTCGGACGTACGTACCCATGCACGAACGGTCGGACGAACGCATAAACCGACGGCTAGACAAATGCGCGCAAAATCGACCACACGAACGCACGCATGGACGGACGGTCGAAAGAACACACGCACGGACGAACGGACGTTCAGACGGACGCTCCCATGAATGAATGGACAGTCGGACGAAAGCAAGCACGTACGAACGAACGGTCGAACGAACGCAAGCAAGCACGCACGAACGAACGGCCGGTTACGAACGAACGGACGGTCGGACGAACAAACGCACGAATGAACGAACGGACGGTCGGATGGACACTGCCACGCACGGACGGTTTGACGATCGCACGAACGGATGGTTTGACGATCGCACGAACGGAAGATCTGACGAATGCACGCACGAACGAACAAACAGTCAGGCGAACGCACGCATGACTGAACGAATTTCGGACGAACGCACCAACGAACGAACGGAAGGTCGGACGAACAAACGCACGAATGAACGAACGGACGGTCGGATGGACACTGCCACGCACGGACGGTTTGACGATCGCACGAACGGATGGTTTGACGATCGCACGAACGGAAGATCTGACGAATGCACGCACGAACGAACAAACAGTCAGGCGAACGCACGCATGACTGAACGAATTTCGGACGAACGCACCAACGAACGAACGGAAGGTCGGACGAACGCACGCACGAACGAACAAACGGTCGGGCGAACGCGCGCACGAATGAACGGTCGAAAAAACAAACAAGCCAATGAAATATATGTGTCCTCGGAAGTATATTCCTTGGAACATTGAATTATGAAGAATTTACATTAAACTGTTCGAATGTACAAGGTCTATTTTTACACATTTAAGAATTTTATGACGACGCTGACAGATTGATCAAACTGCATGAAGTTGCAGAAGATATATTTGCGATGTTGCCATAGAATGATGTTATGTGATTGTTATTAATTCGTTTTTGGCACGTTCTTTTACGTTCATCTAAAGAAACACAATATCTTCATGGAATAATAATGAAGCTTTCCTCGTGATCGAAGCGGGACCTCCTCATGTTTTCAGCGGGGCCTCCTCATTTTTTCAGCGGGGCCACTGAAACGCCTTTTATGATGTATTTCGACCCCCATGGCAGACGTTATTGTACAGTTACTTATCAATACAGATCATATTGATCCGATATGTATTATAGAGTATGCAAATCGTATTCATTGCCTTTATTTTAACGATAAACGTAATATATGAACAGTAAATTATACAAAAGTGCATGTTGACGCCCTTTTCTGCCATGCCAGTGAAAAGGAATCAATTTTCATGTCATTGTTTGTCAAATATATCTGTTTTTAAAGTATTGCTTGAGTATCAAAGGATAGTTATAAGTATTTTCATCCTTTTGGTCCATTTTCCAAAGTGATACAAATAAACAGGACTATGCTCGCGATTTCAGCGGGAACTTGCTCGCGACTTTGAAATTATAGCGGGGCTTTGGATACTACCCGTGAGACATTAGTCTAGTAGGAAGGTATGGTCCCCGTGCACCCCAAAGATGTATTTTTAATGTACATTTTTGTAATCCTAAAGGCCCATACTAAAGATTTTTGCATGTTCCCTGAATGAAATATTGTCCCATAGTATCCATTGGCGGCCATCTTGTCGGCCATCTTGAATTTTTGAAAGAGTTGGTGTTAATTATCTCAAAGTACAATAACTTCCACAGTTTTGAGAGTTGAAAGCTATTCGTGGTACCAAACTGAAGGTATCACAATATCCTACATTATAAGATACAATAATTATGTAAATTCCCGTATTTGCATAAAATATGACATCATCAATCATTTTTTGCCCCTTTTCAACGGTAATGTATATTGCCTTTCCCTCTGAGAGACCAGTCTTGGTCTCTCATGAATATAAAAGATATTAAATGTATACATTCATTTTGAACTTATGGAATTGAAAGTTTGAACATATTTGCATTGAAAATTTTAGAAAAACATTGTCAGAAATTTAGGTATGACCTTTCAAATGATTATGTTTCTGAAAAGGGGCGTGGAACTTGTTGAAAATCTGTCATGTTATTATATAGTCAATGTATCATCTGTAAAATACCCAGGGGTTCACTGAATACACAATTCTGTAGAGGTCCTAGGCTGAGCCCTCAGATATCATTATGTTCCCATACCAATCTGTTAAATTTCAATGTGTTCCCATACCAACCAAAATAACGCCCAAAAGCCATACCAAATATCCAAATATAAGACCAGTGCTATACCAAATGTACAAATATAGGACTAATGCCATACCAAATATCCCAAGAATATAAGACAAAGGGAATGCAAAATGCCTAAAGCACCTTGAAGAAGGCAGAACTTTTCGGAAAATGATCCAAAACAATCTCAAATTTAGGACATTTGTAAAAACTAGACCAATCCCATACCACAAGTGAGAAGTAACATATTCTCCATGACTATTCTTGTACCACAAAGTGGAATCTGACCATTGTCATACCTCAAAAGTTATAATTTGGGGGCATTCTCATTCAAGATCCTAAAATTTGGGTCCATTGCCATACTAAATGTTAAAAGAGGTACCCCCTGTCAACGTTTATATACAGTAAACCCCCCCCCCCCCCCCGGTGTAAAATATAGCTATTGACTTTTATAAAGAAGCCCAGTGATGTCCTTTATTCCTAGCTTGTTCAGAAATTCTTGTTGGTCTGTTTGGCAAACATTTAAATTTCCAAAGATGTATAATCTGTATCGTTTTTGGACTAAGTACAGATACGAATGACCACATATCCCCATATCATTTTGGGATAGGCAATGAACTGAAATGGGTACCCACAGTATAGTTGTTTAAGCTATATAATTAACTCAATAAGCTCTACCTCAGTCCAAAATTTCATCCAAAAGATCCGACTGGACTCTCAACTGACCTCTTCCAGAAACTCAGGGCTGATGTCAAAACACAGTAGGACCATCATCTTCAATGAGCTCACAGTAGCTTCAGAAGACCGACAAAAATATCTCATCAGCTTAAAAATCCAAAACCTATTTGATGAGGCCAAGACAAGAGGGTGGTGTGCAGTTATCCACCCAATAGAAGTGGGATGCATAGCCCGGCCTCTTCACTATGCTACCTCTTGTCCAAGTTAGAAGGATTTCCATTCCAGCTGAGGTCAGCCGTCAAAGCAGTAGGAGCTGTGGCAGAGTCCAGCTCAAGATGCAGTGGAGTGCTTTAGCGAGTGATCCCCGAGTTCTAACCACCACTGCCCCACTCAGATTATGAATTCCGATGAGTGATGGAATAAAATTATCTATGATGGCTAATGATGACACGATGAAGGACTTTCACTTGATTGTCTATGATACCATCCATCAGTTTAAGATTAACAGTATCAAGCAGGTAATGAAAGTGAAGCATGAGCCAAAGCTGTAGATTCGGCTAATAATTTGGTGAAGGTTTGTAGCCAAGAGACACCATGGTGCTCCAGACCTTCTAGTTACGGCTAATGCTCTCAAATCAAGAGAGGGAGCCTGTGCAGAAGATACCTGCAGTAACTGACAAACAATGGATGAAACTCAATGATGACCTAGACACTAATCTCAGTAACCCCCTATAAGTAGACGCTAAGATGAAAGTTTAGGCCATGACCAGTATTATCTATGACAAATGTGAGGACAAGGAGTGGAGGGAACATCTGTGAAACAGCATTGTGTTGGGCCAAGTAGAAGACAAATGCTTCTCTTCGGAAGGAGATATGAAGCATGCAGTGTTAGTGGATGGCTTCATCACTGGCAAGTAAAAAAAGATCAGAGAGCTCCGACAGATGCTTCTTAAGAGATTACTTCATCTTAGTCATCCAAAGATTATTCTTCCAAAGATAGAAACACCCAGGACCAGGAAGATATTCTTTGAAAATCTCTATAGGCTCACATCAAACTTGTTAGGGAACCAAAGAGTGGCCATATGGCGTGTAGGTAGGATCAAGCAGAACCAAATACTTTGGCAGCACACAGTGACCCAGATCGAGAGATGCCATTGAGTTATTTTCAGATCGACATCCCACCAGATTTATCATCAAAACCGTGTGACCAGTCAGATTTAAAGCTTGATGAGGTGAGGACAATCATCAAGAATTCTCGGCCCCAGATCCAACAGGTGTGACATACAGGGTGTGCAAGAACTGCCGAAAGCTGTTAATACATCTGTGATGATTGCTAACAAGCATCCGGAACAGGAAAAATCTAGCAAGGACTTGGGCTTTGGCGGAAAGGTGCTTTATTCCAAAGGAGCTAAAATTTTAGGGACTGAACCAGTTCAGGTAGACATCATTATTGGATGCTGAGGGAAAGATCTTCTGGGCCATTGTTGTCAAGCCTCTCAGTTATTTCCTACTGGCCTGCAAAGCATTCAGAAAAGTGGTATCCCAAGACATCAAGCCTGCATATAGCAGCAAAAAGCCAACTTGTGAAGAAAACTAAGAAAGAGAATCAGTAGTTTGGCTGGGCCTAAGGCCTACCTAGTATCCCCCACCAACTGATACTAGAGGTACAAGTTCACTTTCACGTACCAAAACCAACAGATGTAGTCAATTTG